ACCTGACCACTATCAGGATCCAAATATACAATATACAGCCTACATATACTCTTCACAGATCTCAGAATTCATGGTTCAAAGCGTTGAATAGATTGCAACGTTACTGGTTGATCTTGACTTGTTTGTCTATATGTAGCTCGATTTTCGTATTCAGCCGTCGTCGTTAAGCTCGTATGATAGGTCAAGCGCTGGCCTGGCTCGTACAAGCTGCGAATTTCGCCGCGGTGCATCACGATCTCCGTATTATTTTGGACTGGGACGTCGCAACTAACTGTGCACCCGTGTGGCTCAAGCTGCTGTTGGATTGTGCTAGACGAGTGATCGATGGGATTTTGGATCCTCGCGTCGTTTAGAAAATCGGAGGGGTGGGACATGCGATCTGCATCCGAGGTAACAGTTGATTGGAATACTATGAAAATGACATTGTCATCTTGTGTTCTGTTGCTGGTCCGTGGATTCCAAATCTAGATAGAAGTACTTTTATCTAATACTATATACTATACTACTATATAAAAGTGGGTTGTCATGTTAAAACATTTCTACCCAAAATACCCTCCAGTACATCCATCCGTACGTACATGCTCAAATTTTTTATAACATCCTCATTGCTTGCACATCCATCCATACATACATACATGAAGACATGCATGCTCAATTTTTTATAACCTCCCAATTAATTGTCATCAATTTTTCAAACACCACTCACTCATAACACTCCTCCACTAACTCATGATACACTAATATAACTTTATGTGCACTAACGATAAAAAAAACGTTGCAACTATTCCTCTCCTACCAAATCACTATAAATAACAAGAAAATTATATCAAATTTCTCCAATCAACATTCTGTTAGACCCTAGAGGAGGGGGGGGGGGGGATTAGGGTCTTATGCTAATCTAATCCGATTTAATACCAATTAAAACTAATTAACAAATTATTCTTGCAAGAGAGATATACAATATGTTACAAGCAAGAATAAGCAATATGAACAAAGGTAAATATCCTAGCAATGAGATATACTATGAGATATATGCAAGGATATATAATTAACACAAGGGTAAACAATCTAAACTAGATAGTGGACAATATAATCAACAAGCAATATACAAAGGCGATATAAGATATGAACATAAAAATAAGTGCGCCAAGCAATCACAAACAAACGATATGATTACGGAGTTCGGTCCCCACGACCTACGTCTCCGCTCCTCACCTCGAGGAGATCTCCACTATCACAATCGGGTTTTCTACGTTTACTTGAACAACGTTTACACCTCACAATACAGTTTTCTAGTTTACCGAAAACTCTACAACTAACACACTATTGTAATCATATTCTACACCCTCTCAAGTATTGAACTAGACATGTCTCCCTCAAGTGCTCGGATACAACCTCCTCCTAGGTTCGTCAACCGACGCCACTCCTTTTGGGATGATCCCCGACTCTCGCCACACACTTCTCTCGGTGTACAAATGTTAGTACAAAGTAAATCTCACAATAAGCACAATACAATAAATGATTGTTCTCTAATATGGATGAGAACACAATAAAAGCTCACACTCAATTGTTACAATTCGCACCAACCCAAATATACTATGTATGAAAATACAATAAGCTCAAGTGGGTGTGTGTAAACAATGAGTGAAATAAAATCTAAACTCAATATAAAAACTAGTTTTTAAGAATGATAATCAAACAAATATGCAAATGTAAAGCTAGATGAGAGTTTAGAAATGCTTATCTGAAAAACAAGATGGAAAGATGGATTAAGATGAAGCTCAATCAATGTAGATGATCTCCTCCACTTGTGTAAAACTATTTCTCAAACAAAAACTCTTTTAAACAAACACTAAACAAACTTAAACCCTTGTTAAACTCTTGTTTAAAAACTTATTAGATTGCTTGGTAGTTGGGGTTTGAGGGGTTTATATAGGAAGAGAAACCAACAGCAAAACCCTCAACCGAATCCCCTAAAAACCTAGAAAAAGATTTTTCAGATTCTGTACAAAAAGAGCCGTTGGGCATACAACGGTCGACCGTGGAAAACTTACGGTCGACCGCGAGTCATATTTGAAACTGAGAAAATTCCAGAAACTTTTATGGTCAACCGTGGCGGTCGATCGTGGGAATTTTTGGACTGACGGTCGATCGCGAAAGTCTCTGTTGGCTCCTGAGGAAAAAACATAGGCGCGGTCGACCGTGGCGGTCGACCGCAAACTGATATATGAAAGTGACCATTTGAAAACAGTTTTTCTGATTTAAAACCCTGTTTAAAATATCAAATAAATTTCAAAAAATATAAAACTTTGTAAAATGATTGTAGACATGATAATACACATGTTATAAAAACTGGTTTTCAGAAAGAACCTTCCAAATGAAAAATATCATCATTTTTTAAAATAGTCCAAAACATGAAAATGTAAACATATGAGTTTTGACATTTTAGCTTAACCATGTTTTGAAACAATACAAAATGATTTTTATAGACTTGAAGAAAGATGTAAACTATTGTTATGAACTCTATAAACAATGAATATAGTATTTCATCAAAATACACATATAATGCACTAAAACATGATTTAATTGAACTGAATAAAATTGATATTGATGAAATCAAAAAATATGTTTTCTAATTATATTCAATTGTTTCATATTAAAACTTAAAAACTATCAAAGCAAAACATATATGTATATATATAACTATATATATACATGGAAACTAATAAATGTATGTGTATATTATATTGAGCTTAAGGTACTATCACACATAATATAAACTCCTAAACTAAATTACCTAAGCTTGATTGATCTTCGATGTAGCTCAACTTGGTACACTTGCGGATGAAGCTTGAACTTGAATCTTTAACTTGAATTATACATAGTTTCAACCACTATATCCGCCAACATCCATTTGATATGATCGTTGAAGCGTAATTCCATTCATCCTCCAACATGTTATTTACCTAGAATAAATACGAAAACACAAATACTAGACAAACAATATTAGAAGTAAATTGTTTGTTAAACATCATCAAAACAAGAAGGCCAACACATTACAATTCGTAATTAAAATTTATATTGAGAAGAAAAGAGCCAAATCTAGTTCACTCTACTGCTTGCGACTTTAGCATTCTCGAGCTCACTTTTCTACAATCTTTATAATTTTCATGCTCTTTTCTTAATCAACATTGCTATAGACTAAGATCTACTATTTTTTGCCCCTTTTTTTGGAGATGATGTAAAAATAAATGATTCATTTAATAAATAATAATTAAAGTTTCTATACATTTTCGCATTCTATTTTGTTCTCAAACTATAATCGTGTGGCATCTTGTTAACTATGAGGTTTTCAGTGATTCTTTACATGATTACGTTTATTGAATTAAAGGAGCAAAAAGAAATCCTATCTTAATTATGTAGCTTATCAGTTTGAGGCTATAATAGTAAATTAATTATAATTAATTTAAGTAATAACTAAGTTAATTTAATTTATTATAATGTCATATTCATATCAAATTCATTAAAAATATTGGTGAAATAAAATTGAATGATGAAAAGAAAAATAAAAAATAAAGAGTATATTGACAATTTTACAAGGTCGTAAATCTATTCATCTTTGTTTTAATCATTGATTAGAAGAATTTGATTTCTTGTTTAATCTTTGAAACTGAATGTTGATTTGATTGACGAAGAATGATTTGATCTCTTACATTGGCGATCTATTTTAGCTTCTTAGTTCTTATATCATAGCATTTTTATTGAAATTCATGAAACTAAAAGTAGCTATTTGTTTAGTGAATTATGCAATAAACTAATTAATTATAAATCTTGAGTCAATAAACTAGCATTTCAAAAACAAATTAGAATAAGTTATTTGCTAAGTAAGAAAATTTGAACTTGAGTTATTAGGTTTATTATAAAAAAAATTTTCTTCTATGTCAATGTTGTTTACTGTAACCCATTAAACTATTACGAATGCCGATCTAGATCAAGAACTAGGTAATGAGAGGGGATACATAAGACTGTTTTTCACATATGTCTACACATATCATAAGTTTTTGGGCACAATAGCAAGTCAAGAATACTTTGACTACTAAATTGGCTATTAGTTTAGTAAAATTATGTGAATAATGAATTAATAATAAAATTCGAAACCTTAAAGTATCATCTCAAAAGGCTAATGAATGGCAAGGCCATGGGAGGAGAAGAATTAGACCATACATCTCTTTAGATTTATCAAAACAAATTATTAGCTAACTATAAGATTTCTTAACCCGTGTTATAAGTTTCTTTTTTACCAATGCTGTTTCTTATAAACAATTAAATCATAGTGCAACTTCAATTTAGATCAAGAACAAGGTAATGAAGGAGAAATATATATATTAAGGGTACTAATTTTTTCCATTAAAATTTCTAAATAGAGTTATTTTTTAGGGTTAAGACCAAATTAACCTTGGCTGAAATTAGCCTCCTCCCACAGTAACAAGGTAGGTAAAAATGTAAATAAAACAATCAATTAGGGTAAAACAAAGCTATAATTGACATGTGAGTATCACATATGAATACTCAGACATTCAAGTAATATAATATACTAATTTACCATGTTTAAACAAGCTGGGTATGTGAGTGTAAGCTTTTTACAATTTGGGGTGTATAAGATTAAGGAAGATGAAAATATAAGGTATTTAAGTGTTTTTTAGCCTTTTAGAAAACCCCTTAAATACCATTAACTTGTAAAATGTCATAACCCCCTCCCCACACCCAAGAGCTTTGGCGATGTCAATCCCCTAAAACTTTCAACAATTTTTATAAAATCCTTCTTAGTGGCATTAATCTAGGGAAGGCAATTTCTGCCCATACCCATTTACCCACCCGACCCGCCTACCACTTAGCCCGCCCAAAACCCACCCATTTAGTTAAATGGGTCTAATTGGGCGGGTTCATTTTAATCCACACTAAACGGGTACTAAATGGGCGGTGTATATGTGCCCATTTGCCCGCCCGCGTTCCCAAAAGAAAAACCTAGAACCCCCGTCAATCTCTTCCTCTTTCTCTCTGGCGGCTGAGTTCTCATTGATCCCTCCTCCTCCGCCTCCTCCTCTGCCTCTGACGCCGCCTCCGACGCCGCCTCCGACATGGAATACCAACTTTTCTTCCTGTTTGGTCTTCATCATATAGCATTTAACTGCTAGTTTTCATGTCTTACATGTTTCAACATATTGTTGCTCTTGGCTTCAGTGTTACTCTCCCTTTTTTCTCATATATACAGATACAAATGTCAGGTTACTGATCTCGCTTTTTCAAGATTTCAGATTGCGTGCATATGGTCGTCCTTATCTTGCATACCATCCTGGTCTTCTAAGAGATACCTTGGCATTTCATGGTTGTGCAGAACTTTTTCAGGTTAATAATTAAACTTGGATTCAATGCCTCTGTCATGCCTTTTTTTCCTTGTCATTACCTTATAATAATTCTCATTGACATGGAATACCAACTTTTCTTCCTGCACTTAATATGTTTGGTAGTTAGGTTTGAGGAGGAGGATGGAATTCGGAGAGTGAGAGGAGTTAAAAGGTAAAATGAAACAATAAGAGTAAAAATATCAAAAGGCTCTAATTTTATCGGATGTCTCCAGGTTTGTCTCCGCCTCGTTACATAGAATCTTTTTTAGGTAGAAAATTAAAATAGAAATTATGCCCATTTGGAATAGTATGGTGCTACAAAGTGGGTAGAATTTGGTTTATGACATTTTTTGTTCATATTGAAAAATAGGAATTTGCCGATTCCGATTTTCTTCATATTGAAATCTTTTCGAACTTGCGCTGTGATTGTTCACATTAGAATCGAAGTATTGAGATGAAAATGGAGGTACTGAATCAAAACCCTGACTCATTTCAGCTAACATCCCTCGCAGCTCTTCTAAGCTGTACTCCCGCTGCTGCAATGCACAAAGTTTGGTAACAGAGAAGATTATTTACTAAAATTTCCCTCAATTATATTTCATTTCTTATCGAAATCACACCTTTTGAACATAGAGATGGAGATACTAAATCTGGTCTCAAATGAAATCGAAGCTATATACTAAAAGCAGAATTCTTCTACAACCAAATACGCATCTGACTTTATGTGTTAGGTACAGGTTCATATTCCATGGCTTTCTTACTCTATTGAAGGATAAAAATATGACACTTTTAACTTCCATCTTAATTTTAAATGTAAAGTTTCAGTACTAACTTCAATAATTTACATAACAATATGACACTTTAATTCTCTTCTTTCGAATTCTGATTTCAAAATTCCCGAGAGCCTTTTGTTAAAAAGACTTGAGTTATGTGTCAAGAAAATGATGAAATATATTAATTGTTAATTATTCAGTAGTGCATATGCCAAAAGCCCTTCATTTTTATTAGCAGCACTTTGAGTTATATGCTACAAAGTGGGTAGAATTTGAAAATTAAAATCATATTGCAGGGATCGTGACGCAAGTCATAAGTGAAGGTAGAGCATGTGCAGAGGGGGTCTTTCTACACATTTGAAAACGTGTCTTAACTCATGATGCATATATTTATGATTATTGTTATTTTATTTTGTATCTAATGACCAAATATGTGTCTTGGTTTATGACATTTTTTGTTTGTGTCCTGCTAAGTTCTCATTACTTCTATAGAAATTAGTTTTTTGTCCCTTTGTTTTCGGAATATCCCCTAGAAAAAGAATCCATGATTTATATTTTCTTCACTCCCCTTTTGTTTTTCTCATTCTCCAAAGGGCTTTCTTTCTTAAAAATTATAAACTGAGGACGACTAGTTTATTTTGTATTGTAGTGTTAACATAAAGATTCTTATGACTTGCAGGTGTTTGGTGACTAGTTTATTTTGTATTGTAGTGTTAACATAAAGATTCTTATGACTTGCAGGTGTTTGGTATATTGTGTATGAGAGGAATTTGTGCCTTGACATCATGGATAACGCGCCACAATGCCTACTCTTCAAAGCCTGCCTTTTGTTTGTATTGCAATGCATGCCAGCCTCGATTATTTGAATTTGGAATTGAATGTAGCACTCTTAAACTTATATGCTTGGGTCTGCAATTCTATCCTTTTCTTTTCGTTTATTTCCCTTGTTATGTAATGCTGTAAACTTATATGCTTGGGTCTGCAATTCTATCCTTTTCTTTTCGTTTATTTCCCTTGTTATGTAATGCTTAGAAGAACATATATTGTTATTAATATAATCGAAAAACTTGGTATGTAAGTTGTTGTGTATATTCTTGTTCCAGTACAGGCTGCTTTGACATGTTTGAACATTTTGAGAACGTTTCATGTCTATGATTTCCACTGGCTTTATTGATATCTCGATGCTGCAGGGTTATAAGTGTGTGAGGTAGTTATGTCAATGATGTTTGTGGCTGAATTAGTCGACATGGTCTCATTTGCATAACGCTGCTCCGTTTCAACATTGTTCTCACCGTGTCGACTAATTCACCGTATCACGATATAGCTATCATAGTTTATAAAAAACCCCTAAAAGTTTACAGAAACACCACAAAAGTATTATATATATAGCTTTTATAGTTAAACGGGCAAATGGGCGGCCCGATTATTAAATGGGCGGGCAAAAGCCCGCCCATTTAGAAAATCTTAAATGAGCCATAAATGGGTAAATGGGTAAAATATGCCCGCCCATTTATGACCCGCCCGTTTAATGCCCAAACCCACCCGTTTAACACCCCTACATTAATCCTTACTTCGTATTTTTTCACATATGAGTAAAATTAAGCAGAGTGATATTTTTGCCAATGAAAATTGCGTTTCACGCTTTTAGGGCATGTTTGGATTCGTAGGGGGTGAAGGGAAGTTAAGGGAAACTGAGTGAAGGGAAGGGAAGAGAAAGGAAGGGAAGGGAAGAGAATTCTCTTCCCCTTGGTTACACCCCAATTTGGGGGGTAACAATTTTTATACTATTAGGGGGTGAACCAAGGTGAATGGAGGTGAATTAACTTCACCTCCTAAGTGTTCCCAAACAAGGTGAATGGAGGTGAATGGTTCCCCTAACTTCCCTTCACCCTCATTCCCCTCAATCCAAACAAGCCCTTAGGGTTTGAATGTGGTTTTTTGAGAACCTTAAAACTTAAAGTGTTTTGTGACATTTTAAAAATTCGAGAGCTTTATCTTGGGGCATTTGTAAAATTTACCCTAAATAGAATGTATAAATTTTATGATTGGAAAAACTGATTTGATATCTAATAAAGTGTTAATCCAAATCAAACTAATTTGAAATACAATTGTATAATAAAATTATACATTAGATACATAAAATTATCATTGCAATGCACACTTATAGCCTGCATATAAACATGAAAATGGACACGTGCAACGCACGTGCACCATACTAGTTTTATTAAAAGTGGATATGAAAATGAGCTATAGAATAAGTGTCGACATGAGATAAATAACGAATTTCACTTCCTCTCAAAAAGTGCCAAAGTCATCTGAAAAGAGAAAAAAAATGAGACCACTATTAATTAATATATTTAAATTATTAATATAAGAAAATTGTAATATGATTTGAAATATAGAAATAAAGTAATATTGTCAAATTATCTTTATTTTTTAGTTTCAGGGTTAAATTGTTTTGCTACAAAACATTACATACTTACTTGTATGGTGACATGGATGCATTTTTGTACTTGTAAAAAGAGTGAGTTTCACACTTTCAAATTCACTTCAAATTATCAAACCAATTTCATAGCGATCCAATCACATAAGGCATGAAATGGAGCAGATATGGATATATATATATATGATAAATATGAAATGGAGGCCAATTAATCCTTGAATTTTTTTCTCCTACTGAATGTTTCAAATATAGAAAGTAGGCTATGATATTTTTTTGAACAAAGATATTATATCACATAATGCTTTGTGCAATTAAAATATAGATGACCTGCATGATGTTCCACGTTAAGCATTATGTCTAAGATAGTTTTATCAATGTCATATTCATAATTTAGATAAATACGGTACTTTTTGAGAAAATATAAATATGACATGTGTTTGCTAACTCAGCTTGATCCTTAAACTAGTTCTGATGAGAGATCTAGTATAGTTTCGACTAGCTCTTAAAAGAACCAGTTTAGGGGGGGTTATTGGTTGGGACAAATTGGGGCCAAGTGGGAAAATTATTCTAATGTAACAATTTTACCCCTTTGGGATATTTTGAGTGGGGTAAAGTAAGATAAAATGGGATAATAGAATAATTTGAGCCTTTGATTTGACAATTCATGTGGGATAATTGATGATGTGACACTTTATTAAAATATAATTTTATCTATTAATTACTTCTAAATTAACTTATCCAATTGATTTAGTATATTATTATAATATAAATATTATTTCACTTTATATTAAAATATAATATATTGTACTATACTTACAAATTACTATTATTAATTATTATATTATATTATATTATATTATATTAGCATGATATACTATATATAATAATTAATATAATATAATATTAATATATTTAATATAATATTTTAATAATATAATATTTAATAATATAATATTTAATATAATACATTATTTTATTTATACAAAAAATATAATATGTTATACAATAATTACTAATTAACATTATATTAGTATGCTACATTATATAATAATTGATATAATATATGAATAATATATATAATATAATACTTTAATAATATATTATTTAATTTAATATATTATAATATAGTATCATAGGATATAATGTACTTTATAAAATATTATAATATTTTACTTTATTCAATGTAATATTTTTTAAATTTTATATTAAAATTAAAATATAATTTCATAACACACACACACATATAATATATATAGAGTAAAACTTGTGTCAACTTAAGTGGCACGTCCACTAAGTTTCTTACCACATTGATGATCACTTGATTGAGCTGCTTTGTGGATGCATCGCTGCGTTGAACATTGATCTACATATTCTTAAACCCGCAAACAACCAAATTTGGTTGTACGTCATGGTTTGACCCTTCATCCACTCGGATCAGATTTTAATGGTTTCAGAATGAATAGAACCTTTTTACAATGGCTCGCACGGAGGCGTCAAACCCATGACGGCTATTTCAACCCAAATTTCGGCGCTTGATGTTTGCGCGGTTTTAGGAATATGTAGGATCAGAGCTTCAACGAGCGGATCATCCACCAAAAGCAGCCAATCAAGTGATCATCAACTGTGTAAGAAACTTATTGGACGTACCACTTAAGTTGACACAAGCAAAAATTTTACTCATTATTATATAGTATATATATATATATATTAATATATATATATATAATTATATTTACATGCATAGTCTACAATAATATTATATTAAAAGGTATCATGTTATAGTTAATATATTATATTATTTTGCAAAACTATAGTATTATATTTATTATACATAATATTTTTACTAATATTCGTAATTTATTATCCATTATATTATAATAGTATGTCAGTATATATAAATAACTATAAATAATTATTCTATTAATTGTAATTATATAAGTAATATATATATAATAATATATGTTATTAAAGATAGTTATGATAATATTATAATAAATACATTATTTACTATAACTTACTAATAAATTATATAATAAATATATTACATAATAATATTAATATATGTTATTAGTTATATAATATATGTTATTATATAATATTATTAATATATGTTATTAAATTATGTTATTAAAATATTAATATATGTTACTAAAATATTATATAATATTATAATAAATACGTTATACTATAATTACTAATTAATATTATATAGTAATATATTACATAATATTATTAATATGTGTTATTAAAATATTAATATATGTTATTATATAATATTATTAATATATGTTATTAAATTATGTCATTAAAATATTAATATATGGTATATTTTGTATATCATGTCATATATTTATAATATAATTGTATCTATTAGTTAAGTAATACAAAAATATTTTAAAATTATCCCAATTGTCTTCAAAGTGGAACAACATTGTTCCAATATGGAGAATGGGGTAAATTTTTACTATTGGGACAAAATTTTTGTATATGAGTGAGGTAATTTTATCCCAAGTGGTGTAATTGTCTCACTAGTGTTCCAAAAAACCAATAACACAAAAACGTATTATCCTTGTTCCATTGTCCCAATGAATAACACTATGAAATAGAATCCCTAAAATTATCCCATTATCTCCCAAAACGAAAGGAATATTCTTTATCTCTACCATGTTTAAAGTTGATCCAACTTTAGATAGTTGATAAACTAGCCTAATTTTTAGGCTGTGTGTCAGAACTACAAAATGAAATTTGGAAGTTGGTCCAAGATGGGGTTGGTTCAAAAAAAAAGAAAAAACTAGTTTAAAGCGGAGATTCGAACTAAAGTAAGCTGGTTAAATTTTGATCCAATTATTGTGGCACTAAAAGTTAACTTTTAGGTCAAGATTGTATCTACCAAGGCTAGGTTTGTGGTTGCCAAATTCCAAAGATAGCCTAAACATGACGATTGCATCTAATAAGAAGAGCTATTAGCATTGGGCCTGACGAGCTAATGGCATTAGGCCTGACCTTGGCTTGCTTCTTAAGGCCCACATACTTTCCAATTCAAAACATAGTTTACTTTAAAAAAAAAGCTTTAATTTCTCTCTCTATTTCCCTCTCCCCTTTAATTTGTCCTCCTTCTCTTCTATTATAATTCGAAACCAAGAGCCTGTTTGGATTTGTAGGGGATGAAGGGAAGTTAAGGGAAACTAGGTGAGAGAATGGAAGGGATCCCTTCCCTTCCCCTTGGTTACACCCCAATTTGGGAGTAACAAATTTTATACTAGGGGGTGAACCAAGGGGAACTAGGGTGAATAACTTCACCTTCTAAATGTTCCCAAACAAGATGAATGGAGGTGAATGGTTCCCCGGAACTAGGGTGAATAACTTCACCTTCTAAATGTTCCCAAACAAGATGAATGGAGGTGAATGGTTCCCCTTAACTTCCCTTCACCCTTATTCCCCTCTAAATGTTCCCAAACAAGATGAATGGAGGTGAATGGTTCCCCTTAACTTCCCTTCACCCTTATTCCCCTCAATCCAAACAAGCCCTCAAATCTCGATCTCCAAAATCTCTAAATTTTTCCTTGGAAAATAAACAAAATAATTTAGAATTTCACAGAAATCAAACATTCCGTTCGCAGTTCTCTCCAATACAAAAAAAAAAAAAAGAAAAAGAAAACTAAGAAAGCTTTGAAATTTTTATTTCAAAGAAAATTATAAAATTTGGAGCCCAATAGACAAGTATAATAAGCGATCGCTCACGCTGTGTCTCAGCAAACAGGGAGGCATTTGAATCTCCCGATTTTGAAGTCGTTTGAAGCGCGGTTGAAATTGACCCCCGCACGTGCGACCCTCAATTCACCAGTAAAGAGTAACCGCTGTGGAAAAAGCTAGGGCTTTTCTTATGTCCAACAAAGACAGCGCTCCTCCAACGGCTACTCTAACTGCTACACTCCCAACCCAAGTCATCATCTCCACCGCCCTTCACTTCTCGATCCTTCTCCTCCTCTTCCTCCTCCTCTTCGTTTCGAGCTCCTCTCCTAAAGTTAGGGTTAGGGTTTCGAAAATGACGATGATGGAGAGCTTGATTAGCCTCGTAAACAGGATCCAGAGAGCCTGCACCATCCTCGGCAACCATGGAGGTGCTGATGGTGCGCTTCCTACTCTCTGGGAGGCTCTCCCTTCTGTCGCCGTCGTCGGAGGCCAGGTCTCTTTAATCTTCCCATTTTCATCTTTTTATTATTATTAAATTTGGCTTATATTTGAACTATAAATTTTTTTGATGAGGTTTGATTGCAGAGCTCTGGGAAATCTTCGGTTTTGGAGAGTATCGTCGGGCGTGATTTTCTCCCTCGTGGATCTGGTTAGAATCTCTGTGAAAATTTTGAATTTTTTGGGGTGATTTTGTGGTTCCTATTGATTTATTTCTTTAAAAAAAAATGCTTCTTTTTGTAGGGATTGTGACGAGGAGGCCGTTGGTGCTGCAGCTTCACAAGACGGAGCAGGGTCAAACAGAGTATGCAGAGTTCCTTCACATGCCGAAGAGAAAATTCACTGATTTTTGTGAGTTTTTTCTTTGGTAATATTTTTCTCTGGTTCGTTTATTTAAGGTACAAATGCTGTTTATCTTGAAATTTTAGAGGAAATGAATTGGCAATGTATTGATATACAGAATTTGATTTTGGAGGACAATGGATGGTGTCAACTATTTACTTCTCACTTTGTTCTAGTTCATACTCGAACATCCCTATGCTTCTACTCTGTGCAACCAAAAACAGACACAGTTTTGGTTTTACACTTCATTAATTGAATTTGTGTGCAAATGTTTTTGTGTCTCTTGTCCTAGTTCTGTACGATTTGGTTGGATTTTGGGTGGATCTCAAGCATAAGCTCGCAGTATTATCAAACGCGCACGTGTCTTCGCGATGCAGGGAGGTGGCGAAGCGTCCTGCATCTGATGTAGCAGCACCTTTTTGCGCCTCGCAAGCGCCCTGGACGAGGGTACTTTGCACAGGATACATGCAAGCATAACAACACTTAATTATGTTATTAACATTTTATACCCAATAATACATATCCCAAAAAGAAACTGTTGTGCGCAGCGGAACTTGAAGGTCAAATAGGGCACAAACAAGAACGAAGCGTCCTGCATCTGATGTAGCAACACCTTTTTGCGCCTCGCAAGCGCCCTGGACGAGGGTACTTTGCACAGGATACATGCAAGCATAACAACACTTATTTATGTTATTAACATTTTATACCCAATAATACATATCCCAAAAAGAAACTGTTGTGCGCAGCGGAACTTGAAGGTCAAATAGGGCACAAACAAGAACGAAATAGACCACAACCAAACAAATACAAACCACGGCAAGACAAACGAATTTTACGTGGTTCGGCCAGTTGACTACGTCCACGGGGTAAGGAAGGGGGAGTTTTTACTGTTAGAGATAAAGAGAATACAAATAGGGTTTACAAATCTCACTAAAAACCCTCAAACAAAGCTCTCAAAATCTCTCACAAATTCTCTCTTAAATGATGCAACAATGCTTTCTCAAAGACTGCTCAAATCGTCCTTACTTAACCCTAATAAATCAGGTTTAAGGTTATGTACTAACAATAAACGAAATGGGTCAGAAAACCAAGCCCAACTCAAAGCCTGACTGGCGGTCGACCACCAAAACCAACGTGGCCGACCGCCCAGCAATCGACAGAATACTAAATTCCTACAGGGTATTACCGGTCGACCGTCACAGTCGACCGAACCCAACTCCATAGAAGAAATAGATTACAGGGTTCGTGCGGTTGACCATGGCGGTCGATCGCGACGGTCGATCGCCTCATCTCCAGAAATCAACCTGAAAAACTATTTTCTGCCATTTTTCTGAACTTCAACAAATCTCCACCTTGGTGAAGTTTCTCCCAAAACTGAGCTGACACTAAAACATTCAAATATCCCACTTGTTACGTCCAGTACGAAGTGAAATAAATCCACGATAACGGACTCAATCCACAACAAGCCGGGAACCCAAACGAGAGCTCAAACAATCTCCCACCCGTCAAAATCAACAAATCTAACCGGCTGTGTCGAAAAGACTGCCTACGTATCCTCTTACCTAAGGAATCAAGCCAAATGTAGTTCACCCAAATGACCTCTAAATGCCCTCAATATTAAAGAATGTTCAATAGCTTCAAACAATGACCAAATTTCACATCTGAATCAACTTTAGTCAACATATCCGCAGGGTTATCCTTCGTGTGGATCTTCTCCAATATGACATCATCATCATCTAAAACATCACGAACAAAGTAGAATCTGACATTAATATGTTTCGTGTGTGCATGATAAACCTGGTTTTTTACCAAATAGATAGCCGATATGTTATCACAATATACCCGAATGGTCTCCTGTGCAATCCCCAAGTCCTCCAACAATCCATCAACCACAAAGCCTCCTTAACAGCTTTAGTCACCGCCATATACTCTGCCTCTGTAGTAGAGAGCGTCACTGTAGACTGAAGTGTACATCTCCAACATACTGGTGCTCCTGCCAATATAAACACATATCCTAAAGTATATCGATGCTTGTCAAGATCCCCCGCATAATTTGAATCTACGTAGCCAATACAATCCTGCCATGTCTTCTCATTCTTCTAAAAAATCAAACAAACATCCACGGTGCCTTTAATATACTGTAGAATCCACTTTACAGACTCCCAATGACCCTTCTCAGGGTTCTACATGTACCTCGATACCATGCTCACGGTCTGTGATAAATCTGACCTCGTACACATAATTGCATACATCAAGCTATCCACCGTACTGGCGTATGAAACCTTTAACATATAATCTCTGTCATCAACCGAAACAAGTGACATCAAAGCTGAAAGTTTGAAGTGGGGAGCCAATAGAGTACTCACAACCTTTGTATTGCCATCAAAGCTGAACTTTTTTAACATCTTCTGCAAATAACTCCTTTGTGTAAGCTTCAATCTCCCATTCACCCTGTCTCTCTCGATCTCCATACCCAATATTTTCTTAGCTTCTCCAAAATTCTTCATTTCAAACTCGGATGACAGCTCATTTTTTAACTTTCGAATAGCCAAAGAATTCCTAGAAGCAATGAGCATATCATTAACATATAATAATAAATAAATATACTCACCATCCTGTAGCTTGTGCATGTAAACACATGGATCATATAAGCTCATTGTGTATCCATGACCAATCATGAAGCTGTAGAATCTCTTGTATCATTGTTGCGGCGATTGCTTCAAATCATAAAGAAACTTTTTCAGCTTGCATACCAAATCTTTATTTCTTACAGTTTTGAATCCCAATGGTTGGGTCATGTAGATCTTCTCATCTAAATCTTCATGTAAAAAGACTGTCTTAACATCCATTTGGATCAAATCCAAATCCAACTGTGCCACCAATGCTAATAAAATCCGAATCGTCGAATGTTTCACAACGGGTGAAAATACCTCGTTGTAATCAATGTCCTCAAGCTGTGCATATCCTTTCGCAACCAATCTGGTTTTGTATCTAATGTCCCTAATAGAAGATCCCTCTTTTTTCGCATATACCCATTTACAACCAATAGCTTTTTTTCCCTTAGGTAGCTTTGTAAGTTCTCAAGTGTTGTTTTTCTGAAGAGATCGTATCTCCTCCATAGCTTCCCTCCATTTAATCGAATCAGAGCTAGATTTTGCCTCCCTGAATATAAAAAGAACCATATCATCAACGATTTCCACTGATAAAGCATATGCAACCATAACATCATTGTATCTAGCTGGCCGGCGAATCACCCTTCTAGGTCTATTTACTACAATGGACTCTTGAACATGACCATGTTTCTAAGTCTCATCAACCATTGTATCATCTATATGCTCGGCTGTCATCCCATCTCCTCCCAGTATCACCTCTGTAGAAGCCTCAATGGATACAATATTATCTGGAGTGGGTGAAGTCACATCATCTTCCACCTGCTGCGATATCTCACTACTTTGGTCTTCCTCCACCTGCTGAGGAACTTAAGACCTCATCATGTATGCCTTATCAAATGTGACATCTCTGCTAATGACTATCTTCTTATCCTGTAGATCCCATAACTTAAAGTCTTTAACACATTCTCTAAATCTCATAAAGACAGCTTTCCTCGTCCTCGGATTTAATTTTTCATCATTAACATGATAATAAGCAAGACACCCGAATATCCGAAGCGACTCATAGTCACTAGTCGCCAAACCAGACTATCACTCCATAGGAGTCTTTTCCTGTATCATAGTGCACGGTAACCTATTAACGAGATGGTTTGCATAAACTAACGTCTCGGCCCAAAAGGATCTAGGCAATCAACTCTGTGTCATCATACATCGTACCTTCTCCAGCAAGGTACAGTTCAATCTCTCAGCCATCCCGTTCTGTTACGGTGTGTCTCGAACTGTGAAGTATCGCCTAATGCCGTGATCCCGATAAAACTATAAAAATGGATCACTCTTATACTCTCCACCGTTATCTGAACGAAGAGTCTTCACATTTCTACCTGTCTGCTGCTTTACTTTTTTCTTCCACTCCACAAAAATATCCAGGACCTCATGTTTATGCTTTATTGTATATACCTAATTTCTTCTGGAATAGTCATCAATAAAAGTGATAAAATAGTTGACCCCACCAAGTGATGTGTGCTTGAAAAGGTCCAAAACATCTGTGTGAATATAATCTAATATACATTGGGTATTGTGAATAGCGGTGCCAAACTTCATTCTATTCTTCTTCCCAAGTACACAATGCTCACAGCTCCATCTTACAGGTTTTCGCACCTTTCAATAGCCACTGTTTCGCTAATGTCTGTAGGGACTTATCACCAGTATGTCCTAAACGCATGTGCCATAAGCTGGTAGTGTCCTCCTTTGTAGTGATAGAAACTGTCAGACCCTCTGTAACTGTCTTGCCCTTTAAATAATATAGATTGTTTTCCCTATCACCTCGCATCACCATCATAGAATCCTTCATGACCTTCATAGTAGCATCCTCTAAGATCACCCGATAACCTGCTTCCTCCAAAGTACCAAGAAAAATAATGTTCTTCGTCAACTACGACACGAACCTCATTTCTTTCAACTCACTGGTCATCTCGTCATGCATCCTGATCCGGACTGTACCAATTTCATCAATAAGACATACGTGATCATTACCCATAAGCACGATATCATTTCTTTCCAGCTCCTCAAAGCTGAGAACCAATACCTCCTAGGACAAATATAAAATATAGCTCTCGAATTCAACATCCACTCCGTAGAGTCGACATAGCAAACTGACGATAGTGTAGGACATGAATAGCCTGAAGAATCCGAATCTGAATGGTCGCTAACAGCTTTAGCAACATTCACCTCTGAAACCTGTACAACTTTTTCCTTGTTCTTTCCGGCTTTGTCCTTCAACTTTGGGCACTCGTTCTTCTAATATTCCTCTTCTTTACAAAAGACACATTGATTTCTACCAACACTATTATGGTCACCTTTATTCTTTGATTTTGAGCGGTTAAACTGGCGACTGTTTGGACTACGATCTCGAACTGTTGATGCATCTTCTGATACCTTTTCGGAGGGTTCGTCATCACTCTTCCTTAACTTATAATTCACCAATGCTGAGATCTCCTCCTTATAACTAACAATAGTTCTTCCATTGATCATAGTGAGAACGAACGTTATCATCCTCTGACAACGAGCACAAAAGTAGCATCGCCTTGTCTTCATCCTCAATCATGATGTCCACATTGGTCATATCTGAAAGTATCTTAGTGAAGTTATTTACATGCTCCCTAATGAAAACTCCCCTCTTAATCTTGAACTGGTAAAACCTCTTTTTTAAGTAAAGTCGATTCTTAATGCTCTTCGTAAGATACTTTTTATTGAGCGTTTCCCATAATCTCTTCGCCGATGTCTCGTTTATCACATCATAAATAAGATCCGACGTCAAGCATGACCGAATAACTCTATAAGCCCTACTGTTTATCTTTTTTAAAACTTTGTCCTCCATGTCTTCAGGTTTCTCTTGTAACTCAAGAGTCTTCTCTAAATTTTGTGCATTCAACGTATCCATCACCTGGCACCTCCACAAACCAAAATTAATCTTGCCATCGAATTTCGGAACATCAATCTTTGTATTATTGATGCTCATACTCTGTATTGCCTTTATAAGAGACGACCCCGGTGTGCTTGCTTCTCCCATATTATAGATCTAACTCTTCAAATAAGAATTTCACAAAGAATCCTTCAAACAAGCCCCAAGCCAAACATGTACCTCTAATACCACTTGTTGTGCGCGGCAGAACTCGAAAGCCAAATAGTGCATGAACAAGAACGAGATAGACCACAACAAAACGAACAAACACAAACCACAGCAAGACAAATAAATTTTACGTGGTTCGGTAAGTTGCCTACGTTCACGGGACAAGTAGGTGGAGTTTTTATTATTAAAGATAAAGAGAATACAAATAGGGTTTATAAATCTCACCAAAAACCCTCAAATAAAGCTCTAAAAATCTCTCACAAATTCTACCTCAAAGGATGCAACAATCCTCACTCAAAGACTGCTCAAATCGTCCTTACTTAACCCTAATAAATCAGGTTTAGGGTTATATACCAACAGTAAACGAAACGGGTTAGAAAACCAAGCCCAATTCAAAGCCCGACTGGCGGTCGACCACCAAAACCGAGACGGTCAACCGTCCAGCAATCGACAGAACACTAAATTCCTACAGGGTATTATCGATCGATCGCCACGGTCGATCGAACCCAACTCCAGAAAAGAAATAGATCCCATGGTCCGTGCGGTCGACCGTGACGGTCGACCGCCTCACCTCCAGAAATCATCCTAAACTTCGTGCACGTTTTCGGTCGACCGCAGCTGACTCGCGGTCGACCGGACAACCTGAAAAACTATTTTCTGCCATTTTTTCTGAACTTCAACAAAAACATAAACTCATTAGACCATTTTGGTAAACCAATGGAAGATCCTAACTCGTTGGTCGCTTATACTATTTGATTTTACTTCGATGTTAGTCTTGATTTGACTTTCAATTTGGAAAATTATGAGCTTTGCTACTATGTTGGGTGTGTTAGCATTATGAATTAAGACCTTATTTTCTAACTTAGTAGTATATATTTTATATCTCGGCATATTTTTCTATGAAAATTCATAAACATGTTCCTTCTTCCTTTATCATACGACATATGTGAATTTTACTTGATAAAACCATTGTTGAACAATGACCGACATAAAATGCCCCTCTGATAATATAATTATATGTATTTGAAATTGCTAATATCACCAGCATATATGATTTTTGCACAATAAATTGCGGGCACGTGATTAGCATATGCATGGTACTTTAGTTTCACTTTACCTTGTCAGTCCTTATGCTTCTAAATGGTCATTTCATTCTGTTTTTCCTCTTAACACTTGGATCTTGTACTGTAGCTCTTGTTCGCAAGGAAATTCAGGATGAAACTGATAGAATGACAGGGAGAAGCAAGCAGATTTCACCTATTCCCATTCATCTCAGTATTTGTTCACCGAATGGTAACAAGATCTCAACTTATTCCTTTTTGAACTGTGAGTTTTCTTTTCTTTGTGCGTGCACGCGCGCACGTGTTTGCATGTGCGTGTGCGTGTGTGTTCTCTAGTGATTGATTGTGCTGGCATGTAATACTACAAAGTTAATCTACATTCACAAGACTTGATATGTATCTTCCATTTCCTTTGTTTTCCTTTATTTTCTCTTAACATTCATACAACCCACAGTCCTTTGATCTGGGGGTAATTAATAATATTACAAGTGATTAACATGTGTTTTATATTTTTCTTTTCATTTCATTTTTGCCTCCGAATTTATTCAGTTCATATTGTTGGTAGGAAAAAAAGCAATATACTTTTTCTGGAACTTTTAAGGCATCTGCTCAAATTAAAATATTTGATATCGTTGATATTTTTCAGTCTTATTACATTTATACTTAAATATAAACTTAATGGTGGCACTCTTTGTGAGTATATCGATATGCACTATATGATTGAAAGAAGATTAGTTTTGTCACAAATAAATGCTCATTTCGTGAACACGGACAAGCAAATACACTTGTGAATGGGCATAACAATTATAGATTGTAGCTTGTTTGGCAGTCAGTGCATACGCATATGTTCATTTTTCAAAACTGTAACCATATGTATGTGAAGTCTCTTATATAGAAAATATATTCTGCGTGTATATTAATAAACAAAATCTATTTATAGAAATCATCAAGATCTAATATTATCGTATAGCGTTTAGTGACTTATTTGTCAAGATTGGCTGCCTTTGCTTTTTTGTCAACAAAATCAAGCCACCGAAAGCAGGGGCTGTTTTTTGTTAACAAAGAAAACACCGAAAGAAAAAATGGGAGCAAGAATCAAAAAGGGAAGGAAGAAAAAAGGAGGGGGGGGGGGGGGGGGTTATACGCAGGCTATAAAAGCCCCCTTCCCCCCCTTAATCAATATCCAAAAAAATTAGCTGAGTGTATCCTGATCTACTGAGTGTTTTGAAAAGAGAGGCAAAATTAGAGAGTGGTTTTATGAGAAAATTTTTTAGAGATATTTCTCTTGTGAGTTGAGTGTAAAAACACTTAAATTTTCTCTCCTTAGTGAAAGATTTACAGCAGTCCGTGGACGTAGGCAAATTTGTACCGAACCACGTTAAATTTGAACCACGTTAAATTTGCGTGTCTTATTATTCCGTATTTATTTTGCTTTCTTATAAATCTGATTATAAGGGAATTTGCGTAATTTCACAATAACTGGTATCAGAGCTCTGGTTGTGATTTCTGTCAATTTTCTGCAAGGTCACTATTCACGTGAAAAGTAAATTTTGTGAATAGTGAAACTTTGTCGGTGGTACCGATTTGTCAGCAAATGTGTCTTAATACACGGTGGTTTACAGAAATAGTCAGAAACGATCCAGAGGGTGCCAGGTTCGAGTGGGAGCGATGATTGCTGACGAAGAGAAGGTAAAAATTAAAAAGTTTGATTGTGCGGACTTCGGCTTTTGAAAGATGCAGATCAAAAATTATCTGTACCAGAAGAAGCTGTATCAACCTCTCTCAGGAAGTAAGCCAGATGACATGAAGGATGAAGAGTGGGCTCTTCTTGATAGACAAGCCCTTGGAGTTATCCGATTGACGCTATCCCGCAACGTTGCTTTCAACATAGCAAAGGAAAAGATCACGGCGGGTCTTATGGCGGCTCTCTGCAGCATGTATGAGAAGCCCTCTGTCTCAAACAAAGTTCACTTGATGAGGCGGCTATTCAATTTGCGGATGACAGAAGGCGCATCGGTAGCTCAATATCTTAATGAACTCAATACAGTCTGAGTTCAGTTGGAATTGAGTTTGATAAAGAAGTACAAACATTGATACTTTTATCTTCTCTACCAGAAAGTTGAAATGTTGCTGTCATAGCTGTGAGTAGCTCGTCGGAAAGCAATAAGTTAAAACTTGATGATGTTCGTGATCTGGTTTTTAGTGAAGAAATTCGGCGGAGAGAATCGAGTGAAGCATCAACCTCTTCAGTTTTACATACGGAGTCTAAGGGGAGAACTTCAGAAAGTAGTTCAAATCGCGACAGATCAAAATCTAGAATGAGCAAATCTAGATTGGGAAAGATAGATTTTAACTGCTATAATTATGGCAAGAAGGATCATTTCAAGAGGGAGTACTGGGCACCGAAGAAAAATACCGACGCACAGGAGTCTGCCAATGTGACCGAGGAAGGAGGTGATGCTATGATTCTAAGCGTTAACAGTCTAATTAAATCATGGATTCTTAATTCAGGAGTATCCTTCCATGTCACCCCATACCGAGAAATCATGGAGAACTACGCCAGCGGTAATTTTAAAAAGGTACATCTAGCAGATGATGAAACCTTAAGATCGTTGGCAAGGGAGACATTCAATTAAAATTGCCAAATCAGACCACATGGAAGCTGTAAAGAGTGAGACATATTCTTGGCCTTAAAAGGAATTTGATTTCTATGGGACAGCTTGATGGAGAGGGTTACTGTACAACCTTCTCAGGTCATAAATGGAAGATTACCAAAGGAGCACTCGTCATTGCTCGAGGTAAGAAAAATGGTATTTTTTATGTAACCTCTAACTTAGAGAATATTATTACAGTAACATATGCAGATAAAAAATCAAACCTATAGCACCAAAGACTTAATCATATGAGCGAGAAAAGGATGAAGACACTTCTGTCGAAAGAGAAGCTGTCGGATCTGAAGAATGTAGATGTCAGTCTATGCCAGTGTTGTAAATAGCGGCCAATAGCGGGGCTATAGCGGCGCGAATAGCGGTCGCGGTCCTTCAGCGCTACGCGTAGGGGTTTCGCGGCTGGCTTAAGTGGAAAAATCCTCTATTCATTCGAATAGCGCGTAAAAGCGGATTTTAGCGGGTTTTCGCGGTTAAAAACGGATTTTCACAGTTAAAAACGGATTTTCGCGGTTAAAAGCGGATTTTTGTTGTTAAAAACGGCTAAACACAATATCACACATTATGATGCTATATTTCTTAAATTTCTTCATAGTTTCATTCATACAACAAGCTTATTAATTGTTATTTATTGATAATACAAGAAATTTACAAGTAATTGAATTTTTAGATTTTTTATGAATTTTCTTATTATTTAGGATATTCAAATATATTTAAATTTGATCGCTATCTGACTGTGCGCTATTTGCCGCGATTTCGTCGCAATAGCCCGATATAGCCTTAACGGTACCTCGCCGCGACGTGCCGCGATCCGCTATCAGCAACATTGGTCTATGCGAGGATTGCATCTTTGGCAAATAGAAGAAAATCAGTTTTGCAAAGATTGGTAAGAAACCAAAGGCAAAAAAGTTAGAACTGGTTCATACCGATGTATGCGGACCATCTCTAATTCCATCTATCTTGCAAGCTCACTGTACTATGTCACCTTTATTGATGATTCTACAAGGAATGTGTGAGTCTATTTTCTGAAGAAGAAATCAGAAGTCTTTGATACCTTCAGAAAATAGAAGGCCATGGTAAAAAATAAAACTGGTTTGAAGATAAAGTGGTTAATGTCAGATAATGAAGGAGAGTACAAAGACAGTAGATTCAAAGAATTTCGCGCAAATAATAAGATCAAGATGGAGAAAACAGTTCCCATGACACCGCAGCAGAATGACGTAGCGGAGCACATGAATAGAACTTTGAATGAATGTACCAGAAGCATGAGGATACATGTCAGCTTGCTCAAGTTCCTATGGGCTAAAGCTACCAATACTGTAGCCTACCTAATCAACCGCAGGCCCTCGGTTCCTTTGGACGGTGGAATATCGGAAGAAGCTTAGAGCAGAAAAGAGGTAAACCTTTCGCATTTAAGAGTTTTTGGTTGTATCTCTTATGTACATAGATTCTGCTAAAAGAAATAAACTATTCTGCTAAAAGAAATAAACTTGATGCCAAATCTAATAAATGTGTTTTTGTTGGTTATGGTGGTGATGAGTTTGGTTACCGGTTTTGGGATTATGAAAATCAGAAGATCATCAGAAGCAGAGATGTCATATTCAATGAGAATGTGATGTACAAAGACAGATCAACTGCAGAATCAAATAGCTCTAGTACAAAAGCTGAAACAAAAAAATTTGCTGAATTTGAGGAGATTTCTAAAAATGATGTTCAGACTAGTCCTGAAGTAGTTTAAGAAGAACCAAGCATGCCAGAAGTGAGACACTCCTTCAGAATTCCTAATCCAATCCAGTGTTATTCGTCTTCTTTGTACTAATTGTTGCTGACTGACAATGGTGAACCGGAGTGTTATGATGAAGCAATATAAGTGGAGGATTCAGTCAAGTAGGAGTCTGTTATACAAGATGAGATAGACTCGCTTATGTCAAATCAGACGTGGGACTTAGCTAAATTACCACTAGGTAAGAAAGCTCTTCATAACAAGTGGATTTACAGAATCAAAGAAGAGCATGATAGAAACAAGCGCTACAAGGCAAGATTGGTTGTTAAAGGCTTTCCGCAAAAGGAAGGTATTGACTACAATGATATTTTCTCTCTGGTCGTAAAACTGACTACAATCAGACTGGTGTTAAAAATTATAACTTTTGAAAATTTATATCTTGAGCAGTTAGATGTAAAAATAGCTTTTCTTCATGGTGATTTGAAGGAGGAGATCTATATGAAACAACCAGAAGGCTTCATAAAGACATGCAAGAAAAATCTAGTATGTCGTTTGAAGAAGAATTTGTATGGATTAAAACAAGCTCCGAGGCAATGGTACAAGAAGTTTGACAGCTTTATAGGCAGCAACGGTTTCACTAGATATCAATCAGATCATTGTTGCTTTCTTAAGAAGTTTGATAATAGCTTTATTATTTTATTGTTATACGTTGATGACATGCTCGTTGTAGGGTCAGATCTGCAAGAGATTATAAATTTAAAATAAAAAATTATCAAACAAGTTCGCAATGAAAGATCTTGACGCTGCAAAGCTGATTCTTGGAATGAGGATCAAGAGAGACACGAAGTCTGGGACTTTGATGTTATCACAAGCTGAGTACATCAACAAAGTACTCTCCAGGTTCAATATGCAAGATGCTAAATCAGTGAGTACACTTTTAGGTGTTCATTTCAGACTTTCCAAAGAGCAGTCACCAAAGACGGAGGAAAAGCGTGCACACACGGCGAAGGTCTCGTAAGCCTCAGCAATTGAAAGTCTGATGTATGTCATGGTTTGTACAGGACCAGATATTGCTCAAGCATTAGGAGCTGTTAGCAGGTACATGAATAATCCGGGTAAGGTACATTAGGAAGCAGTCAAATGGATCCTCAGATATCTACGGGGCACCACAGGTAAAACACTTTGTTTCAAAGGTTGAGATACAATACTAACAGGTTATGTGAATGCTGATTTAGCAGGAAATATTGATATTAGAAAGAACACTACAGGGTATGTCTATACTCTAGGAGGCACTGTAGTGAATTGGGTTTCTTAACTGCAGAAGATAGTTGCTCTCTTCATAACTGAAGCAGAATATGTCGCTGTTACAAAAGCCAGCAAGGAAAAGATTTGACTTTAAAATTTCTTGGATGAATTAGGCAAGAAACAAGAAGACAATGTCTTATATTGCGACAGTCAAAGTGCTACAAGAAGACAATGTCTTATATTGCGACAGTCAAAGTGCTATTCATCTAGCGAAGAATCCGTCTTTTCATTCCAGAACGAATTGCGACAGTCAAAGTGCTATTCATCTAGCGAAGAATCCGTCTTTTCATTCCAGAACGAAGCACATACAGGTGCGGTATTATTTTATCCGGTCACTTCTGAAAGATGAAATTTTGGAACTTGAAAAGATCAGTGGAGCTTAAAATCCGACAAACATGCCGACAAAGACGGTGACTACTGACAAACTAAAGCTGTGTTCAGCTTCAGTTAGCCTACAATAGTATCAAGATCGGGAAGGGTTACTGCATAGATCGGGATATGAAGAAAAATTAAAATCAGTCTTCAAGTGAGAGATTGTCAAGATTAGTTTGCCTTTGCTTTTGTCAACAAAATCAAGCCATCAAAAGTAGAGGCTTTTTTTGGTTGACAAAGAAAACGCCGAAAAGAAAAATGGGAGCAAGAATAAAAAAGGGAGGAAGAAAAATAGGAGGGGGTGGGTATATGCAGGCTATAAAAGCCCCCTTCCTCCCCCCTTAATCAGTATCCAAAAAATCACCTGAGTGTATCCTGATCTACTGAGAGTTTTGAAACGAGAGGTAAAATCAGAGAGTGATTTTGTGAGGAAAAATTCTAGAGATATTTCTCTTGTGAGTTGAGTGTAAAAACACTTGTAAATTTTCTTCCCTTAGTGAAAGATCTGCAGCAGCCCATGAACGTAGGCAATTTTGTGCCGAATCACGTTAAATTTGCGTGTCTTATTATTCCGCATTTATTTCGTTTTCTTGTAAATCTGGTTATAGGGGAATTTGCGTAATTTCCCAACATTATTTTTCAATCCTCTCCCACCAACAATAGATAAATAAACCAATAAAAAAGTAATTGGTGCTTTTGTGTTGGCATACGCAATGATGACTTTCTTGGTTGCCACTAGTCATGTGCATAGTTTACCACATCAACATAAGCATTATAAATTTGGTTATGAACCTGTTTCTTTTATGCTCTTTGCATGTTACACTCCATTATCTGATGTGGACTGTAAGGTTCAAGTTTCTGTTTCTTGACATAAGTTTTTGCTCTGATTTGTTTTGGCAGTTGTCAATTTAACACTGATTGATCTACCTGGTCTAACAAAGGTTGCTGTAGGTAATATTACTGCATATTACTTTTAAATATTGTTTCTTTGAAGGTTCTCTTTTATAAGAATGACCCATTTTTGCAGAGGGGCAGCCTGAGAACATTGCCAAGGATATTGAGAATATGGTCCGCTCATATGTTGAGAAGGTATTCAATGTGCCGCAAAAAGTTCAGATCCATTAGCAACACCATGGTCCATGGATGCCAGTTTTTAGTGCTACTACAATCTAATTTGCTGTTGTTATACAATGAATGTCATTGTAGTCTTGCACTGTTCTACTTAGTGTTATCCATCTGTTCTTAATCCTCAATAGGTTATTTTTTGATTGATTTGTTTTAACTTTGATATGTATTTCCTTCTGATTTGGAATGTTTATAATTTACGAATTATCTTAATCTATTTTATTTTTATAGCCTAGTTGCTTTATATTGGCAATTTCCTCTGCCAATCAAGATATTGCCACATCTGATGCCATCAAACTTGCTCGAGAAGTGGACCGTAAGTATCAACCCCATAATTTTTGCTAGGGGACAGGACATTTGGAGTATTGACAAAACTTGATCTAATGGATAAGGGAACAAATGCACTTGATGTAAGTTACCAAGTTTGTTGTCATGTGCTCAGATGTTAGCTTACTGATTCCAGATGAGATGAAAAGTCAGATACCATCTTATAACCTTTTACCAGACATCTAAATGTATTTTGAAGTTAAACTGTGTTGATCGCTTGTTTTTAAGGTTCTCGAAGGAAGAGCTTACAGGCTGCAACATCCTTGGGTTGGAATTGTAAATCGTTCTCAGGCAGATATAAATAAGAATGTTGACATGATTACTGCCAGGCGAAGAGAACGGGAGTATTTCTCAAGTAGTCTTGAATATTCACATTTAGCTAGTAAAATGGGTTCTGAATATCTTGCTAAACTTCTCTCTAAGGTGAAGTATGATGGCTTATTTCTTTGAAAAGATCCCAGAATTATAATTTTTGGAGAACGTGACTGTGATTGTACTTTTTCAGCATCTAGAATCTGTAATCAGGGCGAGGATTCCAAATATCACATCTTTGATAAATGAAAGCATTGATGATCTTGAATCAGAACTAGACCACCTTGGTAGACCTACAGCTGTTGATGCAGGGGTGAGACATCTACAAACGTTTCTTCCATTTTCGTCTTTCTAAGTTGGTCAGATGATGGCTGTTGAATTCTAACTAAATATTTTTAATGTTCGTCCAGGCTCAGTTGTATACCATATTGGAACTTTGCCGTGCCTTTGATAAGATATTCAAGGAGCACCTAGATGGAGGGTAAGGATTTCAGTTTTGTTCTCTTTTTTCCAAGAGCAATGAAACTTCCCTATCATACCCTTTTCACTTGCAAATATAAGTGCATAGTGCAGTCTATATAGTGCGTACTAACTTATGGGCTATTATGGCACATCTGGCATATAGATTATCTCCAGGTTGTGGATCCCAATTCAACATATAGGGCATTTAGATCCATATGAGACGCTTCTTAAAAGTGTAGATTAAATTTCTTTGTATAGTAATATTACAAAATCATTAAATGGGCTAGCTAATGTAGTTAGAATCTAAAGGATACACAATTTTCTTTATACCCAGTATGAGACAATATTCACTTCCATTCACTTTTAGTGGGTCATCTTTTCTGCTATATTTAGTTGTGAACATAATCTAAACATTACCACAGGATATGACCAAATTTGGCAGATAAGCTCCAATTCCTCAAGCAAATCTTCTTATGGCTTTTTTAGTATGAAAGTTATAGGTACTTTTAAAGGATTTGATTGTTCTGGATGCCACTAATGCATTCGTTATATTCGTTAAGCTCCAATACTCCTTAGTGACGGGCATGCTAAGTTTAGATTTTAAGATAACATTGAATCATGCATATCCATTTTATCTGAAATTGATCAATAATGACAGACGACCTGGCGGTGATCGTATATATGGAGTTTTTGATAATCAATTACCTGCTGCATTGAGGAAACTTCCATTTGATCGTCACCTCTCCCTTCAAAACGTGAGAAAAGTGGTCTCAGAAGCAGACGGTTATCAGCCCCACCTGATTGCCCCTGAGCATGGTTACCGCCGCTTAATTGAAAGTTCCCTTGATTTTTTCAAGGGCCCTGCTGAAGCTTCAGTGGACGCAGTAATTTATCTTTTCCTATTAATCCTTTACTGTTCCATCTTTCTCAATTCTACGTTCTTGCATTAAATCATGAGTCTTCCTGATATTTTTTTGTATTGCAGGTTCACTTTGTATTAAAAGAGCTGGTTAGAAAATCGATAGGCGAGACACAGGTGAAAACTTATGAAGATTCGTAGAGATCAGATAAAGCATTTAGTAGTTTATGTGAGGGGGTATTTACACTAACATACACCCAACGTTTACACCATTTTTAAGTTTGATAGCCAAAGTTTTATTTTGCTGAAAGAATACCACAAAATTCATAGACATTTGACTTTGATACCCTGAAATGACTTAACAGGGTATCAAAGTTAAATTTTTAGGAACTTTTGGTGTCTATCTGGGGAAAAAATGGAAGTTTAGGGTATCAAGGTTCAAAATGGTGTTAACTCTGGGGGTATTTTAAGTGCAAATAACCCGTTTATGTAAATATTAACTCACAGGAATTATTGTTCAGGAGTTGAAAAGATTTCCAACACTACAAGCTGAACTGGCAGCAGCCTCGTATCAGGCCTTGGAGAATTTTCGAGACGAGAGTAAGAAGACAACATTGCGTTTGGTTGAAATGGAGTCGGCATATTTAACTGTAGAATTTTTCCGGAAGCTTCCGCAAGAAGTGGAGAAGGGATGGAATCCTGCAGCTAACTCAGCTGCGGACAGGTATTCTGAGGGACAATTTAGAAGGATCGGTTCAAATGTGTCGCGTTATATAGGGATGGTCTCTGAAACACTGAGACTTTCCATACCAAAGGCAGTGGTTCACTGTCAAGTTCGAGAAGCTAAACGTAATTTGCTCAATCATTTCTATGTGCTACTGGGAAGAAAGGAGGTGCTTTGTCCTGAACATTTGTATCTTATGTATGTTCATGTTGAACTGTTTCTGTTTAGTGAGTGGAACACCTTTTCTTTTATGCAGGCAAAGCAGCTGTCGCAGTTGTTGGACGAGGATCCCTCACTGATGGAGCGTAGACAGCAATTGGCTAAGAGACTTGAATTGTATAAGTCTGCGAGGGATGAAATTGACTCCGTAGCCTGGGCAAAATGATGACTTCTTCAGCCTCATCATGTATAAAATGTAGTGATTCTGGAGATGTTAGGCAATTTTTAGTTCGTGTTCTGTATCTGTACCATGCATTTATTCCTTGTCTCGATGCTTAATTATTTTTTTGATGTGGGGCAAATTCATGCTTCACTGGTGTCATTTCAGGGTATTTACGTTTATTTCATCCTGTGACTGAACGTTTCTCACTGGATCACTTTACTTGTCTATAGTACGATGTTATTTTTTTTATTCAAATTCATTTGGTAATACATTTGATAATTCGGTATACAGTTGGGGAAAGTGTTTGTACTAATTTTGTGTAAATTAATTATAATATTATACCTAAATATTTATATTTATTAGTAAAAATGCTGCAGTTTAATAACAATTTACTTTAAAGACGGAAGAGAGTTGCGAGCATTTGTCACCGGCTAGTTTCAGGCCTTGCAGCGAAATCTAATAGTTCAAGCAAAAGCTTACTATTAGGCAAGCTATTTGATGATGATTTGTCATGTCAAGTATGTTATAGCCGTTTCCAATCACATTGTATTGGACCTGATTTGCAGTGACACTCTTGATTTTATATAAGTGATTAGTATTTTTCGTTCTCTAATTCTCCTTTAAACCTATTGAACTCCTCCTCCCTTTCCTCTTCATGCATCTTATGTATTATGAATATTTTTATATCTAGTTAATAAACTCCTTGGGCATCTTGGCCCGGTTACTAGAAAAAACACATGCCAGAAACTAAGAGTGTGTTTGGATTTCAATGGGGTTAAGGGAAGTTAAGGGAAACTAGGTGAGAGAATGGAAGGGAAGGGAAGGGAGTTCCCTTCCCCTTGGTTACACCCCAATTTGGGGGGTAACAAATTTTATACTATTAGGACGTGAACCAAGGGGAACTAGAGTGAATAACTTCACCTCCTAAATGTTCCCAAACAAGGTTAATGGTTCCCCTAACTTCCATTCACCCTTATTCCCCTCAAAAAGCTCAAGGCCAAGCACACTTCTACTGGCTGATGCATAGCCAATGATTGCCACTTTCGCTGCATCGGTCGCAAAATATCATGCCACATTCTTCGCAAAGCATCAATCTCTAATGCTTGTTTGCTTTCATTCTCGAAACCTGTATTACACAAACACAGAAATAACAAAGTTCTGAAAAATGCACAGCAAATACAGGACACTGTGCCCAGTACGTGCATTTAGCATGTGTCTGTTATGTATCAGATATGGCATGGCTTCATATTTGAAGTGTCCTTGTTCTAGGTTGAACTCCCAGTAGATGAGCCGATTCATGTGCATGCACGCACATAAACATAACCACACATGAGCATAAAAGTAATGAATCGACACTGAAAATTTCTATAGTTCAATCAGAAAAAAAAAACGTGCGAAGATATAGTCGTCGTCATCAGTCATAGAATATTATTTCAGTGTTACAATATAAATATATAATCCAAAAATACTCTTTAACTAGTATAAGAAATGCAATGACCTCTAAATTGTTAACAATAGCAACTAATAATCTCCATTTCCCTCAGAAGGAGTCATAATCAATGTTTCTTTCTTTTCTAGTTCTTTCAATGCCTTCCAAAGCTTGGGGTCTTCATAATCTTTAATAATGAAGGTAGCACCAGCATCTAACAGTGACTGTCCTGGATTTCTCGTCGTAATACCAATTACAGGCATCCCAGCTGCAACACCAGCCTTTATCCCAGAAACAGAATCCTTGAAAAATCGAACACAAATGTTAAGACAACTATGTTTTGGGTTAATTATAGATACACGCTATGTTAATTCTAGACGCGATTATTCCCAAGTTAGGTTGAGATATTATACAAGAATTACATGATAATGATGATAAATAACCTTTGTCCTCAGTTTAACTAGAAAAAGTTTAAATTGCCCTCGTAATTGGGGACAGAAAAGTACCTCTATGAGGTTCAGGGTGTGCAAATTCTTTAAAAAAAAGTTTAAGTGGAAGTGGCTTATAACACTAAGGTACAGGGGTTGTATATGCAACAATTAACAGTTTTGAGAAATGAGGGCCTTAACCTATATTCCTAATGAAAATGCAAACCCAGAAGGAGTACAAGAACTGTTTGAGCACAAAATGCTTTCATGATATTATCTTCATACCGAGAGGTATAATATAACTGTATTTAATAAGAAATAAGAATGCATACAAAATAGAAAATGATTCACAAGACAAACCTCAAAGACAAAGGTGTGCTCTGGGGATGCCTTGAGAACTTCAAGTGCCTTCATGTAGGGCTCAGGAAATGGTTTGGCTCTCTCACATTCACTCCCAACAACAAGGACGTGAAAGAATTTATCGAGTCCCAGTTTCGTGAGCATGAACTCGGCGTTGACCCTTGGAGCGTTGGTCACAGCTGCATGCTTCAGTCCTTGGTCCTTGACCCATTTACATAGCTTCTGAAGACCATCTACTGGTTGCAATTTCTCAGCAGCTAGCCTGCAAAATCCACTTCTCAGAATAAATGCTACCCCTTATGGATCGTAGGAGGGGGGAAACTCTATGTAAGGTTTTGAAAGTGGTACCTTTAGTCCCCTCATTTACAACTAATCAAACAATCATCAATTGTTCGAGCCCTCATTTTCAACTATGACCATATTTTCACATCCAAGCTAATTTCATGGAAAATGAAATGGAGGGATCAAGCGGTTACTTTTGAAAGTTTAGGATGATTTTCTGTACAGCATACAAATCTCTAGCAATATTTTTGTAATTTTTACCCTAATCTCAGATATCAAATAATGTATAAAATAGATGATAGGCCTTAAGCAATAAACTAGAAGTCTTTGGCGACTGTAAGCAATGACCTTAATGGATACTTGAATTATCTGATGCAGGAAGCAAAAATTAAGGATAATATTTTTCCCTTTTTCTTTCTTTTGTTACCTTCGGAATGTAACTTCCTTGTCTTCCATCCATTTCATGGCCCTTTCATGCTCCCAGTCGGGAAATAGGAAGTGACCAATATCATCATTATGCTTTCCGCTAATTTTCTCAGCAAAGAATTCCTCGGTTATGGGAACTCCATTGTTATATCCCATCTGTCAAAATTTACAATGCATTGTTACCAATCAAAGTTGATAATTGTCCTCTTGCCATAGAGAGCAGAAAGTGCATAAAGATAGTTGGAGAGTATGGACCTCAAGAAGCATTTCACGAAACGCTTCGTAATGAAAAGGATCTGAATCACACAGAGTTCCATCAATATCAAACAATATAGCTTCCAAAGGAGCAAGTCGAGATAAAGAACTTTTGCTGTAAAAATCCAGTCGTCGTTAGTTTGGTAAAAATAGAAAAATGACTGTGATATACACAAGTATGGAGCAAGATTGGTTGTAGGACAAGTAATTCTACTGTAAGGCTTTTTGTTAAAAGCTCTTAAAATTTGTGAGCATTCTTTATACTGCAGCACATCAGGAAACCTGCAAGCTAAAAATATCTTAAAAATGCTAATGCAACAGAAATTCTGGATTGAGCTTAATCTACTACTCTTAAACAGCAGTGTTCTATTAGAAACCTTCTTCATGATATCTGGAAATTCAAAAGCTTTCTTGACGGAGATTTGAAATAGGAACACGAGTCAAAATCCCTTGATAATTTTTGAAACAGCTTTCAAGCACAAGAGAGTTTATCTCGTAAACAAACTATCTTCCAGGTCAGCTAATGACGCAAATTAGAGATTGTAAGAAGCTCATAATCCTAGAAACCCTATTAATCGAAGTTCGCAATGGCAGAAACAAGATAAGTATAAGATGGAGGCTTGACTCGAATTCATGAAAAGTCTGAGGTATTGTGATAAAATTAAGATAAAAAGCCTAAACATTTCCATCTCGTCATTGTTTTCCTTCAATTTAGCATTCAATTTATAACAGATTGGTGAAGGAAATCTCTCCTCGATAAATTCGGATCAACCTGTCATGCATCTATATACTATACATTTGAATATGTAAGAGAATATTAAGCTATGAAAAACAATATCCCCGTTGTAGCAACAAAGAATTGAAGTGTCCAATAAGGCTAATTAGCACAATTCAAATACCCATTCTCATAGTTAATCATAAATTCATGTTAACCAATAACCATTAATCATTCGGCAACAATTTAGGCAGAGAGACCCGCAAAACGACAGAATTTTTATGCAAACGAAATAACAGCTGCGGCGACTAAACGCAACAATATTAACAATGTGGCAGAGCTGGATGGGGAAAAAAAATTGTGAGAAAAGGAAATAATAGAAAACCATGAGGGTCCACACAAACATCAAGAAACACGTCTTATCATTCAATTAAATTGTAATCCTCTGCAGCTTCTCCTCTCATTTACGTCTGTTGGGTCATCAGCAATAGTAGTATTTCCATCAATAATAACCAACTACAGATCAAATGGGGAAAATAATGGAAAAAATAATCAACAAGAGCAGAATGAGATACCCGTCGATGGGCATGATTGGAGTTGGTATTGTCGTTGATCTGAGACCGACGGAGGTTTTTGTAATTGGGGTTGACGACGATACGAGATCCGCTTTCTGTTGAGAATATAAGAGGAGAGGTTATTCTCGTGCTGGGGAATAGGAACAGAGAGAATGAAGGGCGTATGACAACGTAATAATAAACCTCCGAAATGGGAGAATATATAGGAATTAAATTCCACCGCTCTTTCTTCACCACCGATGCAATGTTCCTTATTTTTCGTTTAATTATGAGGAAGAGAAATAGAGACCAACTACACCCTTTCATTTTGTGTGAGGAGGTGGCTTCTTCTATGTTTCAATATGAGGGGGTTTAGCACATACGTCCTTCCATTCTTTTGGAATTATATATATATATATCATATCATACTCCCTTTAAAAGCACGAGTTTAGAAAAATCTTTCTATAGTTAATATTATCCTTCACTATTTTAAATATTTCATTTATATCTTAATCTATCCTAATCATAATTATATCTTATCTTAATCCTACGTGAACTATCTATAGCTTAACAATTTAAAAAATTATATTAATAAAATATGTAAAACATATTTTTATGGTATTAGTTTGTCAAAATAAAAAATTATACGTAATCATAATTATATCCTATCCTAATCCTACGTGAACTATCTATAGCTTAACATTTTAAAAAAATATATTAATAAAATATTTAAAACATCATTTTAGGGTATTAGTTTGTAAAGATAAAGAAATTATACATAGCTAACGTACTATAATACATAAAGTATTACAAAAAAAATCTAAATCTTTTAAAATTACACAAAATAACCTAAAATTTTAAAATTATAAATACTATCCCAACGTCTAAAAACTTAAAACAAAAAAAATACCAAAAAAATGGTTGAAATTTTAAAACTTGGCAAAAAAGTGTAATTATTAGATATTTTTTCATTAATATATATATATATATATATATATATTTGGGGTTTACTATCCCTTTTTAGCATCTAAAGACAGACTAAGTTGATACTCGTAAACAAAAGCAATAGAATTGATTAAAAATATTCAGTTAAGAAATAAAAATTTAAAAAATATTATAGCTTAAAAATTATCGTCACCATATAAATTAAAACAACTGCATAGAATTTTACTAATAAGTTGGAGCAGAAAAACACATTAGTAATATTAATTGATAGATATTTAAATCCATAAAAATGATAAAAGACTATAATATAATAGCTTAGCATTCAAAAAATACAATGAGTTACCTATGAAGAAACTATCAGAATGTTCAGAGATATCATTCAAAAGAATCAAACTATTTTCATTGAAAATGGGAAAGTGACGCAAATAAATCTAAAATTTGGAAAATGTCCATGAATCATTTGAATTGTCATTAACATAATAAGGCATGTCTATTAAAGAAGCACCAACTGAGTTACATTGAAGAATAATTTAATAAAACTTTATCCTAATCTAAGAAGAATTCTCTATAGAAGATGTAAGAAAAAGTAGTAAACATTCATAAATTTCATACTTTGTTCTTAAAATACTAAAGAAATTAAATATTAATATTATAATCTAAGGTAAATTAGTAATAAAAAATATAGGTATTTAGTTTAGATCTTTATGAATAATAACATGGATAGAGCAAATGTAATAGTATTAACGTAACAGAAACTCTTGTTAGATGCACATCAGAAGAATTTATTGTAGAAAAAAAGAGGTAGCTCTTAATTTTATTTAATAATAAATCAGGAATAAAAGAATTTTATATATATGAAATTAATATTTATTCTCATTGAAATAATAAAAATCAAAGTCTATATTTCAAGAAGTTTGTGTTGAATATCAGAAACACATTTAACTTTTTTGTGAAGTTAAACAATAAGATAAAAGATTAACGAGCCCAATAACGATAACAGCACAAAAAGTACAACTCTAGCCCGATGTCACAACCGAGTAGATGATGAAGATATTATTATAGAATTGCTCAAGAAAAAGATAAAGGTGAGGAAGGATTAATATTAGCTCAGTAAAAAAAACTGAAGGAGTAAAAGATAATATTTTGTGAATATTTTATAGAATAGTTTAATTATTTTGTGTGAATTTAGAAATCTTTAGAATGGAGCTTTTTCAGTAGGTTTATATGCTTGTGCATATGCATTTTTTATATGAAAGTATACTAGAGTTAGCATTAATCTTTAATTTATAATTTTTTATTAAGGCTATCAATGATTAGGAACAAAATTTATATTCTCTTTTGTATATTTTAGCATACTTTTAAGCAATTATTTTGCCTTATTGGTTTTAAATATTCACCTTCTTTGCATAACACAGTTTCAATATTTTTTTACTTTTGCAACATTGTACTTTCTCAAGTAAAGATTGGTTTCATGTCAATCAAAATAATATGAAAATTTAAATTAGCTTCAAATTATATTTGATTTCTATCAATTTTAATATTAACATGAAAGTTTAAATTGGGTGTAGCCCATTTAAACAAACATTAAAGAAAATAACTAATCGCAATATTAAAGTTTAGAGACAAAAGTGAGCATAAACTATTAAAGTGAATCTGAGGAACAAATTTTAGTTATAAAATAAGCTAAAAATACTTAATCATGATATTTAACCACGTGCATTGCACGTGTATAAAACTAGTATATATATATATAGTAACGCAGTATCACAAAAAGTTTAGAAAAGAAAGAATTTCGTCTATAGATTATTAGAAATTTACAATATGAACTAAATTGGAGATAAGTACATCATGGATTTCCTCAATAAAAAAGATGTGATACAATCCCCACCATGTGAATAAAATAAGAGAGAGAAATCACATGGTGGGGATTGTGCCACATCATTTTCAAGGAGGAAATCCCCTCCTATGACAAGGAATTTTAACCAGCCACCTATGGTATCACCCAATCATGATTAGACATTTGTAGTATTATTTTTGAGAAAAGATCCCTTAAGTGGATTTTTTTTTACTCTTAAAATTGGTTAAATTTTTTGAGAAGACAGATAGACCTCTATAGTCTATTGGTGAGGATAGAACCTCATACGCTTTATTCTTCTTCTTCTTCTTTTTTAAAAAGCTTTAAAAGAGTAAAATAAAGTTAATTATGGGGTAGAACTACTATAATAACATTAGTATAGTTACTTTTTAGATATTCTCTGTTATCTTCTTGCATATTGGTTATTAATGATCGCTTGATTTTTATTGCTATGCATCCCATAACTATAACTTGTTGAATATCTAGTGTTCTTCCTCGTTCCTTTCCCCACTTTTTCCCCTTCTTTCCACCATTTTTAGATTAATGAAACAATACAACGTTACACTTTAAAATATGAATCAATGGCAGATCCAGAATTTCTGGAAAGTGGTATCACCATGTAATTAGTAATTAAAAAACTTACAATTGTACTCAACGAGTTCTTCATATTAAAAAACTAGATAATCAAAATTTTAGTTAACACTATCAAATACATTGTTAGTAACACTATAAAATACATAATCGCTTAGTACATAGCTCAACTATTAGCCTATGAAAACTTTTCGCTATACCATATCAAAATTGTAATCTCCCATATATGGTAAATGGGTCCTGTGTAATCTTTTATGATCCCATATAGTGATAGAAGATGATCATGATGGTTCATGGTTACATAGGCATCATGTGGATATATAGACATGCTGTAAATTAACAAAAGCTTAACTTAAGTCATATGGTAACATGAGGTATCCCTTAGTGGAAGTGGTGTCACATGACACTAGTTCCACCAAAGTAGATTCGCCCTTGATATGAAGTGTGACTTAATCTCTTAATATATTTCATAATATTATTGATAAAGTTTTATGCTCAGAATAGAGTGATGATTCTATCAGAACATCCCACAGAAATGAGTGAATTATATCATTCACGTATGTAAATGATTAGTTTAAGAATCATAACTCATCAATTTATGGTGTAGATTATCTCACTCCTATAAGGATATGGTTCTAGTAGGATCCCTGCTGCTCCAGGCTACATGTCTACAAGAAAAGACCAACGAAAAATCAATCTCCATTAATTCCTAGACAAGGAGTCATTTACAAATGAGGTCATGTAAGTAGATATGCAAATATCACGTTAGCATATGTAATAAACTAAAATACAAGTTCAACTTTAGTAAAATTTAAAGATAAAAAATAGGATGACTTGTTGCGATGCTGACCGTCCCTTTTCCAACAACTTCGGCTTTTTTTTTTAAGATGCAGAATACTAGTTGAAGCACGATTTTTTTTTTATAAGAAAGGACCGGATTCCTGGCTGACAATGACCGTCAGTTTTGCACTTTGTGAGAGCATCTGCAAGGCCCGGAGAAATCTGATCCCTTAGCTAAATTAGGGGACATTTAAAGGGTTTGGGCTCTAAGAGCATCTCCAACAGCTTCTTTAAAATTTTCTTTAAAATGAGGAAGCAAAAGTCATATTCTCCAACTAATTTTTACACCAACTCCAACAGCTTCCCCATTTTGAAGAATCCATTTTTTTCTCCAAATTTTTGGAGAATGCTGCAGATTTGGGGAAGCTTCCCCATTTTTTCTCCTCCATCCCTATTTTGGGGAATGAGATGGGGAATCTGTTGGGCCAAAAACCTAACTAAATTCTCCAAAAGTAAGAAATGAGGAAGCTGTTGGAGATGCTCTAAGAGACCAAAAATTTTTCCCTTCAGCCCCTAGTCCCTTATCTTCCTCCCCAAATTAAGGGGAAGATTAAAGCCATTTAACTTTTCCCTTATAATTTTATAATAATATATTTTGTTTTAGAGTTAATTAAATTTAGTTAATGTATAGTTAATTCAAAATAATATAATTATTTGTTAATATAATTTAGTTAATGTATAGTTAATTATTATCTAAATTAATTATTTGTTAAATTTTAATATGATTAATTAATTTAATAATTATATAAGGTAATTTCTTAATCTAAATTAATTAATTAATTATTTTTAGTTATTAATATTTACTTATTTATTCATTTATAAATAAACCACATATTAATTAAATCCTAATCTATAAAATTAAAAAATTAAACATAATTAATTAAATGGTAGGAGACTTTTAAGGGGGAACCATTGGAGGAGAACCAACCCCTCACTTAAAGTTCCCTCTAAATTAAGGAACATCCAAGGGATCCCTTGGAGATGCTCTGATGTCACGATTTCTAGAGAAAGTCAGAAAGAGCATCTTTTAGTTGTCTCTAAATATAGGTCAAAGTCAAAGATAGCTAGAGGACGTGGTCGGTTAGC